AGATATTTCTGACAAAGAAAACCGAAGCAGGAGGAAATGGCTGAATATTTCTGTGTATAAGGAAAATGTCTTTTATAAATAAATCTTTTGATTGGTAATAAAGCTTTCCTCTATCGGCGGCTTGCTGAAAAATGCATTTGTCAGCAGAACAAGAACTGAAGGACTTGTTCTAGCAAATGCAGAACAAGACAAATCATAAAGAGGAGTTGCACACTGCTAAAACATGACATAAGAATGTTTCCAATAGATAAAATACCTAGATATTTTTGTAGCGTATAAAGCCCAATCAGGCATAAAAACAAGTGTTTTTTTCTCCTTGTGATCTTTATGGAACATTTCTTTGACATATGCAGAAAAGCAAATGATGGGAGCAGTAAGTTGGTGCAGAACAGAGCTTATTTAATTTGGACACAAAACAATCTGACTGTATAAATTGATCCAAGCGCGTCTGCTGCATTTTAAAGCTTCTCTGTTTAAAGTTTAAAGCGACGTTCTGCTGCAGGTGAGCCATGCCTTCTGTGTCTGGAAGCAAATGCTTGAAAGATGCTCAAACTCCGTGCGCAGACGAAGGAAACCTGCCGTACGCAGAGAAGAAGTGTCCCGTGGACGGAGTTGTGGAAATCTTCCCCGCTGCGCAGAAGTCGTCTGCGTTCAGAGGAGACGGCCGCATCGACGAGGAGGACAAATGCCACCAAACGTGTGAAGAGAATGGTGCGAAAGAGGAAAAGGCAGAAGAGACTGCTGCTCAGATGAAGTGGATTCGTCCTGATTTACCCAGCAGATGCAGCTGGAGGCCGGGCGCGCCGATGTCAGAGTCCCCTCACAGCCAGCCGCCACGGTAAGAGTCACACCAAAACCAAAACAACCTGTTAAAGAGAAGACCATTCACTTTTTTTTTGTCTTTTTTGAAGGTATGGGGAATAAAACACAAAGGTGTGACAATAAAGCCACATTCTTGTCTTGTTTTGTCTGGTGTACTGTGCAGAAGTCCTAATTTGATCCATAATATAAGTTCATATTTTCGCGAAGAAGAAGACAATGATATAAAACATTACTGATAAATTTGAAAGCTGTTGTTTTAGGTGATGCTCTTACACTCTTGCAACTCCTGTTTGTGATGAAAACTGTTTGTCGACATTGTTAATAGAGTCACTTGTCTTCTGTTCGCTGCAGCATCAAGCCACCAAGAATCCTCCCCAACATCCTCGGACACATTGGACACACACCTCTGGTCCGCCTGAACAAAATCCCAAAGGAGTTTGGGTTAAAGTGTGAAATGTGTGAGTGCAACATGACACAACCGCACAGGAGTCAGATCAGCTTCTGGAACAGGTTTTAGAGGACCGCTAAAGATTGGGAGGATGGCAGAGAGAAACTTAAACCAGCAAAAAAAGAACGACTAATCCAGTAAAGTCTAAATACTTTAGATTCTATTAAAGTTTATCATGATAACTGAGGGGGAAATGCTCCATTTCACAGCAAAAGACAACCCAAGTTTCTTCACCAACCTTTTGAAAATCACCACTGAGTTTCACCTGCGCACCTTTCAGAGAGTCAGTCCGACGTTAAAACAATGCATGAAGGCGGAAGAGGTGCTTTTGGAGTTGCTGACAACGCAGTCATCCTGTGAGCTTCCTGCTTACCTCTTACACATCCAGTATCACACACCTCATGGCCTTAAAACTGGGTGCTGGTACTGGTGGGGTTTTGTTTAAGGAGGCAGTCGGGTCCATCGGAGAGAAAGGTGAAAATGAAAGGCTCTTTGTTTCTTGAGCCAATGGAGAAAAACACACCCACAAGCAAAAACGCAACGTGAAACCTGAAAACATTCAGGATGCCTGGTAGAGAATCTCCTCTGCTGCCTCACAATTTGCTGAAAAAGGGAAGATTTTATATCACCTTGCAAAAGTTTTCGCCCCCCCCCCTTGAACTTTACAAACAAAAATCTTCACTGAGGATTTTATGTGATAAATCAACCAACACACAATACCTTAAAAGTGTGAAAAGGAAAATAAACGATGCGAGTTTTCCCCAGTTTTTAGTGAATAAAAACCTAAAAGGTTTGGTGTGCATTCCAACCCACCCTCTTTATAACAAATATATAAGGACTGAGGTTTGATAAGTGATCAAACAGCATGTTGAGGCCTGTGGTAAGTCTGGAGCAGCTGCAGAAATCCACGGCTCAGGTGGGATCACTAAGACATGTTTAGCTCAGAAACACGTGGACGGAGGTGCTCTGTACCAAACCTTCTGGCCTCAGAGATGAGAATGACACGTTCCAAAAGACTTAAAGCTGTAGTTGCAATGAGAAGTGGATCTGCAAAGAATTAAATGCGGATGGATGGCACAATTAAAAAAAAAAAAAAAGTAAACCATGTAGCTTTTTCTTCCATTTCAAATCTATATGCTGTCTTAATCCCATCTGTTTGAGACATGTGGTGCAAGAAACAGGTAAAAGAGCTTCATATTAAGAATATTTGTTTGCTGCCTTTTGAGACCAATTAAAATAAATGTCCTTGCCTTACAACCAGCTGCTCATATTTTTAATTAAGTTCATGAAACGACACAAGACGGGTGAGAAAGAACTGTTAGACATGAAGCTGTATATTTCCGGTTGAAGATTGAATCAAAGCTTATCTCATCTCTCGCATACTAGTCGTAATGACATTGTTGGGTCATCGTTATATTAGAGGCCCCAGCTGCTCGGGTGACATTCAACAGCTCTCGAGATTCAAGTAGATTCTCGCGGTGTTGGAGTTTGTCTGCATACTAACAAAAGTTGTAGTTTTTGGACTCACACTGGAGTCCCTCTGCAGCTTGAATGCAGTCATGTGAGCTGAGAGCCCCAGCAATATGTAACCCAGAATAAAAACCCTCCTCCAAAAGAAAATGAGCAGAACAATATAGGCATTATCTGCTTTCCGTCCCTTTACAATGCTCTGTTGACTGAACGGAAGGGCTGCAGACCAATTATAATTACATACACATGCACTGGATGCTTCGCTGCATCTGACCCCGAATTTGTGCTTTTCAGGAAGATTGCAGTTGGCTGGTGCGTGCAGCAGCTTGAGGGAGCGTGATATTTACCAAACGGAGACGTCCTGCCGGGTTATCTGTCGGCCTTTGTTGATGCCACAACCAAACCTCAAGTGAAAAATTTAGATTTGAAGATTAAGCTGTTCTTTAATTAGCTCTCTCTGCTCTGATGCGTGGAGCCTTGGGGAGGAAACTAAAAGAGACATAGTTAAATGCTGAGCTAAAACAAAAGAAAATGTGCAGCTCTGGAAAAAGTTAAGAGATCACTTGAAATGATCAGTTTCTCTGATTTTACATTTTATAGGAATATGTCTGAGTAAAATGAAGATTGTTTTTTTTATTCTGTGAACTACTGGCTCTCAGACCTCAAATAATGTTAAGAAAACAAGTTAATATTCATAGATACATCAACACTAATGTTTTAACTCAGGAAGAGTTCAGAAATCAATATTTGGTGGAATAAAAAGTAAATATCTTAGCAACTTTTCCAAGTGGGATTTATTTGGGTCAATAAGGCAAGACAGTTTATTTACATAGCAACTTATTACAGAGTTATTTAAATTTCATTACAGAAAAAAGACAGGTAATGGAAGTAATATGCATTAAAAACACAAAATGCATAAAACCCCAAAATACACATTAAAGAACAGCATCACAAATTTTAACTTTTAATCTGTTTCTTATGAAAAGGTTAATCAAAATCCATGGTTTTATACCCCATTCTCTAAACTGTTCATACAGCTTTATTTCAATGCCTCCTAAAAAATAAAAACTGTTTTATTTTCACCTTTAAAAAGAACATTTTTAGTTGAACTCTTGTAACAACCAACGTTGAACCCTGCGAATTTCTGGTATGTCTTAGAAATAAGGAAATCACAGCGTTGACGCATCAGCTTCACATTCCTACTTCTTTAATATTTTGTTGTTTTTTTAAAAAAAAAAGTGAAAATTACACCAAATGTTTCTCATTATTATTTCATTTTTATGTCTCCTGGTTCAGTTGCCAAGTGTGAGTATTTCAACGCAGGAGGCAGCATTAAAGACAGAATCACAATGCGGATGGTGGAAGACGCCGAGGAAGCCGGGATCCTCAGACCAGGGGACACCATCATTGAGCCCACCTCCGGTAACACAGGTACTTCAACAAGTCCTTCACCTAACTAGGATTGAATTACTTAATGTGTGCCGGCCACTGTAAAGCACCAGTTTCGTCTACTTCTAGGAATCGGACTTGCTCTCATAGCGGCTGTGAAAGGCTACCGCTGCATCATCGCGATGCCTGAGAAGATGAGTATGGAGAAAGTAAAGTGCTGCTTCCTGCATTAAGTCATTTTTTTTTTTATCAGACTGTCGCTCAGCGCATGCAGCTGATCTTCCCCTGTGTCGTAGGTAGATGTGCTGAAGGCTCTCGGGGCAGAAATTGTTCGCACTCCTTCATCTGCAGCTTTTGACTCGCCGGAGTCTCACATTCGCACAGCTTGGAGACTAAAGAGCGAGATTCCCAACTCGCACGTCCTGGACCAGTATCGTAATGCCAGTAACCCCCTGGCTCACTACGATACAACAGCTGAGGAAATACTGGAGCAGTGTGAAGGTTTTTTTTTTCATTTTAGTATGAAATATGTTTATAGTGAACTGTGCACATAACAGTGTACCGAAAGGTCTGCAGATTTCCAGTTCTGTAAACTACATGGAGCTGTTTCATTTACTCTTCTAACATTATGGAACATTTAATGACTTTATTTGTCCAGTCAATTTCAGAATAAATGCAGCAGACACACAACTGAAATGATCTTTTTAGGTCTAACAAAGTTACATGTTCAGGGTTCAAATACTTTTGTGGGATCTTATCAGAAAGCAGTATATATATATATATATATATATATATATATATATATATATATATATATATATATAAAATAAATAAAAGGGTATGTTTCTACCAGCTTTTCACTTTTTCTAACTAAGATTTTAGCCTGTTCTTATTAGCAGGATCTAACAGACTAAACATGTTTGTGTCTTTAAATTGCTAGTTTTAAAAATTGGTTAGTAGGCCTATGTTTAGAAACTATGTCCATAAATTTTATGATCAATTTCCTTAAATTTGAATCCGTTCTTCTCAACTTAAACTCATAAATGACATTTTGATAAATTAAGAAAATATGACTAGTTTGTTGTTGCTTAAGCCAACTAGTTTTAATATGTTTAAAAACGTAATGCATTTCTTGAACTTGAGTATTGTCTTCTACTGAAATTCATTTGTTGAATTCACTGTTATAGATAATGAATCAAACTAGAAAATCGTGCATTTCCTGTGAAAATGCGGCGTGAATGCTGAATAATTTTAGTGAAAATTGAAAAAGCATTTGAGGTCAACTGCAAGACTTTCAGAAAGAAACAGGCAGAAGCAACTGAATAAAGAAAAAGCCTGCAAAACACAAATAAAAACTGTAGAGGAGTGAAAACTTACAGTCAACGCAGAAATCCCACCAGCAATTTATACGCTAAAATGACCTAAAAAACTGAAGCTAGCTTTAGCGTAGTCAAAATGGTAGACAATATGCTAGCCTAGGTTAGCATGTTGACCTACAGTAGCATCCTCCATGCAGTGTGTGAAAAGAACAGAAGAAAAGAAGGACTAGCTTTTAAACAAGCTAACACCAAATATAAATCACAGATTAACAAAAATTCTAAACCCTGCAGATTTTTTAACATGAATTTAAAAAAAAAAAAAGATAATTAATTACTTAGAGAGAAATGTGATTTTCCTTTCAGGTAAACTGGACATGGTTGTAGCTGGAGCAGGGACCGGTGGTACGCTCACAGGCGTAGCTCGAAAGCTGAAGGAGAAATGCCCCAATGTCAAGGCAAGATCTACATTAAACCCACTCAATAATGATTTACCAAGGAACGCTGCTTTGATTTTATGTTAGTCAACAACAAAAATAAAACATTTTCCCCAGGAAACACACCTTGTACATGTCTGTAAGTGCTTCCTTTGTAATTTGTTTGCAGATCATCGGTGTTGATCCTGAGGGCTCTATGCTGGTTCACTCAGAAGAGCATCAAAGTGGTCATTTCGAGGTTGAGGGCATTGGATATGACTTCATCCCCACGGTGTTGGACAGATCTGTGAGTGTTGGTGTGAATTTGGAAATGTAATTAGTTTTCAGCTACTTCATTTTTCTCTTCATCAACCCTCCAGCTTGTCCACCAGTGGTACAAAGCGAGCGATAGGGAAACATTTAACATGGCACGCAAACTAATAAGAGAGGAAGGCCTCCTCTGTGGTGAGCTTGGACCTCTGCTCAGCTTAGCATGTTAGTTTTTTAAAAGACTTTTAGTGTTGCTTTGCATTAAATTTGTTGATGATCCAGGTGGGAGTTCTGGCTCAGCGATGGCGGCAGCAGTGAAAATGGCTCAGCAGCTGGAGGAGGGACAGCGCTGCGTGGTCATCCTGCCAGACTCGGTCCGCAACTACATGTAAGAGAATAAAGAACGTTATAATAACCAATACTCAGAAATAAGACTTCCATTATCACCTCCCGCCGTCTGTTTGACCAGAGATAAAGTGAATATTAATTCACATCTGTATTTTTAAGGTTCTAATCGTTTATTTTTAGAGTGGTTTTGTGCCAAGAATATATCTAAACATTTTAAATTTGATTCTGGCTTTGAAGCTCTTTCAATCTTCAAACTCTCACAGTATTTGACACGGATGGGAAACAGTAATGAGCCAGGAAGCCTTTATTAGTTGCAATCTTTGCCACTAGATGTCACTAAAGGTTTTGTTTCCATTCAGAGCTAAGAATAAATGCTCAACATTTTGGTATTTCCCATCATTTTGTAAGGCTTTACAAAGTAAGAGAACAGTTCAAAGTTTAAGTTAAGTTTAAGTTTGTTTAGTCCTGATGATATCGTCTTTTCTTTTAACTTACAATACACACTTTAATATTTAATTGGTCCATCGAGGCTGTATTTATTGCAAAAATGTGTACTACTAATAATAAGAAAATACATTTTCCATGTTAAGGTGGTAATTTACGATTTACCGTAAGGCACAAATTAGTAAAGTAGAATAAAAAAAGACGATGAGACGTTTTGTGGGATAAACTGGATCATGATGATGAATGTGGTTCAGTCTACTGTCTAGTAAATACTAAACTTTTAGTTTATTACAAAGAAAAAAAAAAAAAAAAAAAAAACTACCTGCAGGATTCAATCTCCAGGTCGAAGTTCCTGTGCGATCAGTGGATGTGTGAGAAAGGTTTCCTGGAGAGTCCGAATGAGATCGAACCCTGGTAAGAGTGAAAAAAACAAAATCTCTCCCGTTTGGGTACGACGTGACAGCTGGATGTTTTAACATGTTTCCGCTGAAGGTGGTGGAACAAGACAGTCCACAGTTTACACCTCTCCGCTCCGCTCACCTTCGCTCCATTCCTGTCCTGCCAAAAAGTCATCAAGGTCCTGAAAGAGAAGGCTTTCGACCAGGCGCCAGTCGTCAGTGAATCTGGGTAATGCTCTTCAGAGTTTATTTGACTGGAATCAGTTTATCAGATTGTATTAAATCTTAGTGTGTTTCATCTTTTAATAGCACACAGTTGTGTCTTTTATGAAACCGTCTCCAACTTGATTCTTCTTTTCAAGAAAAGAAAAGAAGAGAGTATTTCATTTGAATATTTCTTGATTCGTGTGGTTCTGCAGTGAGATCCTGGGCATGGTCACTCTGGGAACCATTCTTTCCAGTGTGCAGGATGGAAAAGTCAAACTATCAGATCCAGTCAGCATGGTGCTCTTCCAGGACTTCAGACAGGTCAGTCTGGTGGTGGAGACACTAAATCCTCTGCAACACGGATGGCTGCCGTGTTTATTGCAACATGTTTGCTTTTAGGTGCACCTGACGGACAACCTGGGGAAGTTATCCTGCATCCTCAAAACCCAAAACTTTGCCCTGGTGGTGGATGATCAGACCCAGAGTAAGAATATTTTCAGTTGTTCTGAAACAAACAAGCATGTTTAGTTAATTCACTGCTTTGTGTCCACTTATTGGTACGACTGCTGTATGTTTTCTACATAATTCTGCAAATACTAAGCCATTGCAACTTTGTGAAAATAAATTTGTCCAAAATGTGCTTTTTGGGTGTTTAAAATCATCATTGCCTATAAGTGGAAATGCTTCGGAATAGATGCATATTTTTGATTATTTGATAATCTGTTATCATTTTAATCTGTTTAAAATAGAGTTTAAAGTAAAATATAATTTGCTTAAGGTTAGTAAAAGCATTAGGTTGAAAGTAACACTGTAATTTGACCCACGTTTCCATTTGACTGAAGTGAAACAGAATCCAAGTTTGACTTTCAAACTTTTTTTTTTCTCTAAAAGATAAAAACTGTTTTGTTTTTTTAATTAATTCTCCTTTTGTGTTGTTTTCTGTAAAATCTTTTGATTGTTGCTTGCCTTATTTCCTGTCAGAAACAAAGTCCTTGGTTGAATGAAAATAATTTGTACTTTTTAAATATAAAACTGCCCGGTGTATGTATAATCTTTGGTCTACCTGCAAATCACATTTTAATGTTTCACAGAAAAAGACTTTATGACGGAATTTTACTTTCATAAAAAGAAAGTCGGATACCTTTTTACTCTTTTTCCAGTTTCACAAGGATTTCTTTGGGTTTAACCAGTATAACCAGTGGGACGTTTCTGTTTCTGTCCAGACGATGCGGCGGGTTCGGTTTGTCCGAGGCAGAACGGGTTTGGCGTTGCAACGGCAATCGACCTCTTGAACTTCATCGCCACACATGAAGGACAGAATCACCCATAATCCTCCTGTTCGCCGTCATGCAGTCAAACAGTGAGGTGTTTGGAGGTTTTCACCTCCTTAATTAGGGCGTTTAAAAAAAAAAAAAAAGCCAGCTTGATAAAATAAAATATTGTGAGTAATTATGCTTCTTTTAGTCACTTTGTTTTGTTTTTCAATATTGCAGTAGATGTAAATACCTTAAAAACATTCAGTGGTTAGAATATGATCGATAAGCAAACTTTCTACACTTCAGTTTTATGTTACATTTATAAAAAGTTTGTAGAAAAATTACAGATTAATAATTCTAGTATGATTTGCTTTATATAGTTTAGGTATACACAGATTATTTAAAGTATTTACATGAGCTAAGAAGTTGATGCGATCTCTGTCAGGATCAGTTATGGGATTTGAATCTTGTAATATGTAAAACATTAATGATAAAATAGACACTCTTCAACTTTTTTCATTATTAATGAACATTGTTTCGTGTGTTTAAATAGATATTGTGCCCCTCCTTCCAGTTTTGTTCCTGTATTTGCTTTTACTCTATTTGCCATGTAAAATGTTTAAGTTTTTTTTTCTTCACAGATTCAATGTCGCCATCTGGTGGTAAAACTTTAGTCAAGAGAATTACGGAAGTAAAGTCAAGAGAATTTGAGTGTGAAGTATTTTGTTGCACATTTAAGCTATTTTCTGTGTGAATTTGTTATTTTTCAGTTTAATTAAATATAGTAAAAAAATAAACACATGAACATGAGTAAGGCTGTAATTTTCCAGACGGAGTTTGTTTCTCATTTGAATATCTTTGGAACATGACATGATGTGTTGCTTTTAGTTATTTTAACCTAGAGGTAATGTTTGTTGGAGTCAAGCTTTTTCAAGTGAACAGCACACTGTGGGTTAAAGATTTTTTTTTTAAAAACTGATCATACATTCACGAATCCCGAAGCAGGATGGAGTGTCTCATTAAACCACAAGAGGGCAGCATCGTGACGCCACAGAGAAACGGACAGCAGCACGGACAAACCTGCGTGACGTTTTAAAAACATCTCCTTGTATGAACCGAGCCCTGAACTTCTGTCATTTCTGTGGTGAATTCAATCAGCAGATGTTTTCCATTTTCGTCAAATTACTGCTGAAAGCCTTTCTGTGATTTAATGTGACTGTAGGGGAGAAAAGTGGCTCAAAAGATTGAGTTGAAATAATTTCATTTCATCCTTCAAATGTGAAAAGCTTTGAAGAGACCCTCGGGAAGGAAAAACGCAAGGCCTCACTATAATCCATTTAAAATGCGTCATGCCCAAGTCTTATTAGTTGATTAGGAGATTTTATTTGGTGTAGTTGTTAACTTATTGTTTCACATTCAATCATCTCTTTGTTTTTCTATTTTTCTTTTGTCTTTTTTTTTTTTTTTTGTATGACTAAACCGCAAGATTCCTGAATCAACTTTGTTCCTGACAATCAGACATTAAAGAAGGCAGTTCTTCTTCATGGGTCTTTGAGCATAATAATTTTGTTTTTTAAAAGTACCTTTTGAGGGTAAGACACTGCTTGCCTTGACCTTTTCTATCCATTTCCATCCAATGGTAGTTCAGAAGAAAGGTTTCTCTTTTCAAAGAAATTGCTCATTACCTAACTTCCTGCAGCAAATAGCTCAGCTACAGTGCTAATACCAACCTGTTTGTGAACAGAAACAGCAAATAAGAGGTTTGCTTTTAAGCAACCAGCAGAACCCACAGTAATGACTAAAAGAAAGAAACACAGTAAATACATTGTTGTGAAGAAGAAGTGAAAGTCCGGCAATAAGAAGTCGACAAAATAATCTTTAAATCTTTGCTTTTGTCCTCAAGGCCATAAGAAAAGCAAAGTCACTGGCATCCGTTGTTCTGTGAAATGTTACAAAACGGTTCCTGAAGCTTCGCTGCTCAGTGATAAACCTTCCTGGAAGTGGCCGGCCTCCCAAGATTTCTCCATAAATGCATCAGTAACAGAAAGCCTCACTAAGTCAGGGTTAGTGTTCACGATTTAACTGTTCCAGTCATATTCAGTAAATTAGAATATACCTGATGAGTCTCATTTGTACCTTTTGAAGACAACCTTTAAACAGATCTTAAACTTTTCCATTCTGTTTTTAAAAACAGTTTTATTTATTGGACTGATGTAACATTCTAATTTTAAATGTCGATTTTTGCGAACTGTAGTTGGAAAATCATCATGATTAAGAGAACTAAGGTTGCGTGTATATGATGTGTTTCACTTGGTGATAGAGTTACTGAAGCAAATCGACTTTTCAATGCTATTCTAAGTTATCGAATGGGTCTGTAGAAACAGACCAGGCAAACAACGGTTAAAATAATTTACGACCAAAAGGATGGGGGAATTTTCCTGCTACAATCCAAGAGCACACATTTTCAGTCTAAAACCAGCATTTCATGTCTTTCTTCTCAAAACTTGAAATGCTTGTACTCAAAACTTCTCCTCGTGCTCAGACTTTGTCTCTGCTTGCCTTTGAAATACCTTTTGGCACAGTCGCTTGGTAACCTCTCAGCCAATAGAATGAAAGTGTTGTACTGGGTGCATTTGCTTCCTTCTAGCGGGTGTGCCTGTGTGGCTACTATCGATTGTAGCAACCTGCGCCACCCACTGGATGTAGGGAGAAACAATGACGTCAGCTTTCTGCTCCGTAGCACGTTAAAAATCCTCTAGCAGTGCTAATGACCGCTAACAGCTACTGATCTTAGCATGAGTTTGTTCATCCAACCAGCTCCCTATAGGTCATGTAAAAAGTTGCTTTTACATGACCTTCAACAGTCGGTTAAAGGAAATCCTCATTATAAAACTGCTTTTGTATTTTTAAATGTTATTTTTGTCTGTTATTAAAATTCGGTTCATGATCTGAAACATTTAGGTGTTTGATTGCAATGGAACAAATACGTTCTCAAAGCGCTGTAGCTCCAAAAGTCCAATTCACCATTAATTGATGTGAACTGTAAAGATACTAAGTGCTGACCGAAGACACATTTGGGCTCCAACTAAACAAATAATGATTCTTTTTAAATTAGAAAAACAGCCAGTTGAAGGAAGACAAAATATTCAAATAGTAGCAGAGGCTAAAACAAACAAACAAACAAACAAACAAACAGCAAACAAACTTCCAAATAGTAATTTTAAAAATATAAATATTACAATCTTTGTCTTTAATTCCTTAGTGTTGATGAATCGCTGCTACCTGCATTTTCACAGCATCCTGTGTTAACCCAAAACCTGTAAAATTAGAGCATCATCCCTCCAGCCTCTGACAGCCTGTGAATCATTTCCAGTGATCTGCTTGTCATCACACATCATTTCCTGACGAGGAATCGTGTCAAATAACAGCTCCAGTGTCACAGAACGCTGACTTCACTTGGAGCCGACAGAAACTCCAACCATCAACTCCATTATTTACCAGAGCCTCTCCACTGGGGCCAAACTAGTCACAGTCCAAACGCGTCACACGGAGGAACTGTTGATGCAAGTCACGCTGTCCCCAGCTGTCCTGTCCTCTTTACCTCACAGGACATCTGGGTCTTGTCCTGGGATGATGCTGATCTCGTTTGGTCATCTCCTCCAATGTTCATGACGATGAACAAAACCAAGAAAGCCGAGTTGTTGAGAAGATCTGTATCACAGAGGCATCGCCTTGAGGAGCTGTTAAACTACTTCACTTATCTTAAGAATATTGTGGTTGAGAGGAGATTCATGATTCTATCAACTAAAGTAAATTCCAGTTAATAAAGCAGCAAAACAGCCCCAGAGTATCATACCACCACCATGTTTGATTATTTTATTTTAGAAATGCTGTGTAAGTTTCAGCTTTCCAGATGTAAATGGTATGAACACCTTCTAAAAAGTATAACTTTTTATCTTTTCAGTCCATGGAATATTTTTGCCAAATGTTTTGGGAATTATCCAAAACTTTTTGGGTCAATTCAGGATTTAATCTCTCTGTTGTTTTGAAACTACAGCAGTTTAGGTCTTGTGATTCTTCTATGCGATTTTTGCCCATGAACCTTGACCTTAACTTGCTGTAGTTGTTTTGAGTTTTTTTGTGACCTTCCGGTGATGCATTCTGGGATTTTCCACTCCTGGGAAGGTTTACCGTTGTTCCTCGTTTTCTTCATTTGTGGTCATCATGGTGGTTCTCTGGAGTCCCAAAGCCATAGAAATGTTAATATCACTGCTTCTTATTTGTACTACCAGGCAGGTACTTTTTAAAATGATTTTATTTCATCTTGAAGTTCTGGTGTTACAATATATATATATATATATACACATATACATATACATATTTAATCTTTTGCCAAACCCCATTTGTATTTTCTCCGGTTATCTGTGTATAACAACACCATTCAATTAATGCTGACAACATTTAAGTGTGACAGAACAACAAAAGCAGAAGAAATCTATTACGTTATAATCCAGTTTTAATACATCCCAGTCAGATACAGCTAATCATAAAACCTCAATTAATAAAAAACTGTATTAAATGGAAACATTTTATTGCATTTGGATGTTGATTTTGCAGAATTTCCTCATGTCGAGCAAACACGTGAGAGGAACAACTCCATTTTAATAAAAGGTCGCCTCCATCAGAACCCGAGACAAAATGATCAGCCCATTTCTCATGACTGACTGGAGGCTGAGAGAACAGGAAGAAACCACAGATAAACAAATAAGCACTGAGTCAGGGGTACTTTCTATGGGATGAAATTCAGTAAGACAACACAAATGTAATGGGAGTAAAAAATGTGTCCAGTTCTCAGTCCAAGCCTGCAGCAACCAAAGCCAAGCTAATGGTCTGTATCAGAAATAAAAGCTTTGAAGCTTTAGAGTTGAAAGTAAAGATGAATTACAATGAAGGATGACTCAAAACTTTTTACAGAGTCGTAGTTTAGTGAGCCTAAAGAAAGGAAGACTTAACATTTCTGTGTAAAGTCTACATAAGCAGGCTGCATAAAATAGGAGCTGCATGCAGAAAACTCCCAGTTAGATTCTTAACTTTCTTCTGCTCCGTTATATTACAGACAGATCAGAAGGTTTTGTCTGCCTACTGAAAACATGCTTTGATAATGGTTCATAATAATCCTTTTTATCCGTTTACTGAAATGATGTAATTTTCCTTTGATAGTAAAATAGCTCGAACATTCTCGTTGTTTGAGTCTCACTCCGTTCAGTCTGGAAGTCCAGCTCGGATCTCAGATCTGCCTAAAGAAGAAAATTAAATGAATTTGTCTGAATCGACAGGTCCTCTCAATCTCCCCACACTGCTGCTGTGAGAGCGGGAGAGTTTTGCCGGCAACCACAAGGTGTGGAAATTCAGAATGACGCACGCAAAGGTCATTTTATCTAAGCAGCTTTCGCCTGCAGAGGATAACAGCAGAATTAGAGGTTAATTATTCACCTCAGGCTCCAACATCGGAATACACTGATCAGCCATTGTGAACTTCAAGCGGTGAGCAGAACATTTCCAGGGAGCGTAGGTCACATCAGAAGCAAAGGCGGAGGTGGAGATGTTTTAATTAGTCGTAGCTAAAAAGCATACTTTACAAATCGTGTGTGAAACATTTTCTTTTTGTTGCTTATGGTGCTTTGAAAATTGCCACGTTTACAGTGAGAGGCAAAGGTATTTCCACCTATTCCTCTTTACAGCCAGAATCGTCAATGTTTATCACACAAACTTCCAAATTAGGAAGACTGATGA